GCTCGGTCCGGCTCGGTCACGTCGGGAACGTGTGTTAGGGCGCACGGTCTGTTTGCACAGCAGCCCCGGAGCGGAGCCTCCCGGGTTGAACGTGCTGAGCGTTTTCAAATCCCACTGGCTTTCGTAGTTACCTCTGCGCTTGCCCCGCCGTGTCACAAGCGTTTCCTGAAGATTCATACGTCTGTTTTAGCTGACACTATGATTCTTTTGGGGTCTGATTTACGGGAAGAAATTGAAAAGTCTTCCCAATCCTGGAGCTATAAAAAATGTACAATAATTTATTAGTATAAATAGAAGTAATTAAGTTTTTAGCCTACTTATGAGGAAGCACCGAACTCAAATTCCCCTGTACAATGCTCAGCATTTTTCAGGATCAGGCTGGCGGTGAGCAGGACTTCTGTTGCTTAATATTAATCCCATGTTGTAATCTGCAGAAGGTAAACGCTAATTAGCTGTGGTGAAGCAACGATGTGGGATGCTTTGCAGGCTGCCGCTGGTGGCACAGAGCACAGGGGCTCCAAGAGGGTGAGGCAAACTGGGGAAGCTGTGTTTTTTCCCCAGAGCATCAACTTCTTACATTTCACCTTCACGAGTACTGGCAGTGCAGCCGTCGCTGTGCTGTGACCTCCAGGACTCTGCGGCGTTCGGAGACCGCTCACGTGGGCTTCGCGCTGAGCCTGCAGCCTGGGCAGGGTGATCTATGGCCAAGTTTCTGTTTTCCTATGCTAGGTTATAAGATTTCTCTGTAATACTTCAGCGATTAGAAATAATGATGTTTTAGCTCCTAGATTTCCGTACGCCTCCTACTGAAATTGTCCAGTGGCTATTGAGGGCTTGTTTTTCAAGAAAAGTGCATAAATCTATAGCAGATGCTTAATTGGCTTCGTTTATCATACCCGGATGTGCAACACAAAAAAATGTAGTTCTTGGTGTGTTCATTGAGGGCACACGACCTCACAGACCAGAAACTGTTGTCAGGCAGATCTCCTCCCTCAGACTTGACCTGTTTGATCCCAGTTTGTCGGGCTGCTTTGAAAGCTTGCTGGCTTAAGGTAAGAAAAAAGCAACCAGGCGAAATAGTTGCCTGATAATGTTTACAATAAAACTAGATGAAAATGTGCATTTATAAAATCAGCGTTTATTGTTCTTCGGTAACCACAATGTTTCTCAGCCACTGCTGCTCCCCCCGACACGACCCCGGGGCCACACGAGCAGCGGGCTCACCCCATCCCGCCCGGGGACCCCTGGCCCTGGGGACCCCCAGACGCACAGCGTTAGTGCCGGGCTGCGGGCGACGCGCTCGGGGCAGCGCTGGCTGGGTTCGCTGCCCCCCGGCTTTACAG